GATCTATAATATTTGAATCTGTATTGAAATTACGTTTTTTCAAAAATTAATCTTAAGAAACTCTAACTTAAATAGTAGATACATAGTCAACTATGGTATCAACATACTTGTCGCCATTTTTTGCTTTTATGTTGCTTATTACGTTATAATAAAGCGGTTTTTCTCAAAAAAGTATCTGTCAGTTCTTGTTCTCACGTGTGTTAATCTGCAATTTGTTGTTTTTGACGCCGTAAATTACAGTTAGATAGTGATTAAAACCAGATGCCGATAAGGTCGGTTAGTTGTAATTAGTCCAATCATATTTCCAGTCGACCTTTAGAATTAAAAGTCCGAAGATTCATGAATATGTATCGCGACGAAGAAGAAAATTCAATTTAGCATCAGGAATTTATGATAAGCTAAGAGGATATTGTTCACGATATAAATTACAGCAGGAGGCAGTCGAGTAGGCTTTTTTGTGGGATTAGGTAATTAAAATGAGGAAAAAAAACGTTAGAATTCATAACGGAACTTGAGATGTATTATTTGGGCATGGTACGTTGGTGGAATAAATTTTTATTCAAATATTCAAGTCAGGCAATGTGAACATAAAACGAGGGATGAGGAGAGAAACAACGGGGCATAGTAAAAAGGAGAGTCGACATATACAGTGCTCTCAAAGAGGTACATTCTTTCACTTATTTTTTGTAGGGTCAAAATAGTAAGCTGAAATTTATGCTTAACGTAAAAGCGAAAATTTATTAAAGGTAGTTTTGAGCTCATTTGTAACTTTTTTTAAATGGAATATAGGGATCATGTGAAATAGCGGGAATGCAGGATGTCAACATTGAACATTTTTGTACATTGGATCACTTATAACTCAAGTGAATAATATCAATCTTCTTTTTTCGCATAAGTATATACAGGGTGTTCGCAAAGTTGGGGTTTTCCTTTTCAGAAACACCTACCCTTGAAATAACAAAGGTGATGTGTAGTGAAACGAAGGCGACCAAGTAAGAAAAAAATAAAGGAAAAAGTACTCACTCTCCAGTTGACGAGAAGGGCTAAGTACGTCTCTGCCCGAAATCATACCGCTCCAACAGAAAATGAAATCAGCTGATGCGCTACCGAGCAGACGCAGGCAAACAAGGAAGGCAAAATGTTCCGTAAAAAATCTAGGTATTGCATCCCGTCCAATCGATTTGGGAGAATAAATGGTCCAATGAGCATACCGTTCACCATGCCAGCCTAAACATTCACCGAAAATGTTTGTTGAAAATGTGCCCGACGGACAGCGTGCGGATTTTCTACTGACCAAACATGAGTGTTGCGAAAGTTATTCACCCCATTACGCGTGAACGTAGATTCGTCTGTCACCAATATGCACTTCAAAAAGTCCGGATTATTGTCATGTTGATTCAACAACCACTCACAAAACCGCACTCTTGCTGGAAAATCGTCAGGTTGAAGGGCTTGTACACGTTGGACGTGAAACGGATACAGCCCTTGTTCACGCAGCGTTTGCCACACTTTAGTTTTTGATACTTGCACTTCTCTACCCACGTCTCTAGTGCTTGTTGAGGGATTCTCGTCTACGCGATTACCTCTAGATGCGTGACCGTAACCGTCGGTTGAAGGTTGCATACTGACCTGACACACTGACCCCGACCCAGTTCTGTCGTCGGGTTGAGCTAGTGTCCTAGTACCAGTCGGGGATGTCGCGACTACAGTACGGTATTCAGATATTTTTGATGTTGCAGAGCCCTTTATCTCGGTTCCCTTAAGACATTGGTGTATATGGTACTAAGAAAAATTGCTTATGTTTTCAAGATCTACACGTCGTGTAAAGGAAAACACCAACTTTGCGGACACCCTGTATAAGTGCACAACCAAATATAGGTCATTCGGTTTTCTAAACGAATTTAGAAAGATCCTCCGAAGAGAAAAATATTTAGATAACATACGGTAGCGTTTTGGTCACTGGTTGTTGAGTTAGAAAAGATTCAATTAACAATATCTCGAAAACTATTCGCTTTAAACACTTCTGACAAGTAAGCCTTTTTTGTTGTGGAAATTTGAGAAAATAAAACTTTTTAGTCAGTTGTTGTATACAGGGTAGTACCAAAAAGTTATAAAAAGTTATTTACCGAGTTTAATGCCAGAATCTGAAATACTTCTCAAGCAATAAGGAAAAGTAGAAAATAAAATTGTAACTTTGACACCCTGCATCTCGCAAACTATCATTTTTCGGACTGAGGTATGTTTAGGTCAATACACATATTTTGGTCTGTAGTATCTCCAGTTTCGAGATTTTCCAACCTTTCGTATATGGTGGCAACATGGTAGGAGAAACTGCGTTGAAATAGGGTTGTTGAATACTGGTTCCCTGATAGTTTTATCTCCAAGTGGTATAGAATGAATATCACTGTTAAATGAATTAGATTATAAATGTAAATAATAATTTATGGATGGAAACTGAGTGGTGATATTGAACCAAACCATTTATTTTCAACCAATTGAGTATTGGATATTTTGCTGATATGGGGTAAAATCTATGCAGTCCAAAAATAAAACAATCCCAATTATTTTGGACGATTCTAATTAGGTTTTTGGTAAGGCTGTCTAGACATAGATAATATACTATATTACAATAATTTATAAAAGACACAAACAAGAATTTACATAATGTTTTATTTAACTTGAAATGTCAAAAACGAACATCGAGAGATTTTTGTTTCTGGCCTTTTTCTCCGTCGCCACCGATTTTAAAAGTAGTAGATTTCAAGAGATAAAAATTGACTGTAGTGTTGTCATGAGATGGGGTTTTGATTGAAGTGCGATGATGAAGTGACGCTAGCTGCACTGACGCTGAAGTATATAATTGAACTAATAAAAGAGAAAGAAAATGCTGAAGAAAGCTAAAATTGTACATGTTATGAAATGTTTATTTGCAATTCGATACATGGGAGTGGGTTATTTTAAGCGCCCAAGCCCCACTTATGACCTCTTGTTTAAATGTGGGGCGGGGTTGCCCTGAAAATCGATTTTCTTCTCAAGGAGGAAAAACGTGGAATGAACGTTAGGACATCCAAATGCATGTACTCGTAATTGGTAATATAGTCAAAATCATGAAAGATGCCTGTTACGTCATACCATAACGTGTACTAAAGTAATCAATGGACGTACGTCGATGATAAAATCACGAGTCAGAAACATAATGACAACAAATTTATATTATCATTTTGCGAAGTTAGTGATTATTTTTATTTTCATTTTATTGCATGGTTTTGAGTGATACCTTAATAATAATTTTAGTGGGGAGTTTTTGTTTTGGAAAAAACAGTCATGAGTAGAAGGGTAGGGTGCCCCAAGTCTGCGCACTTAAGGTTTGATAAGCCGTAGAATCGTGAATCAATAACCTATTGTAATAATCTTAATTTCTATTTAGGCTCACATTAATGTACTTTGTTAATTTAAGTTTTATTCAAACATCTGATAACAATTTTGTTAGTAATTAAAAAAAAAGACAAAGATGTAAATGCGCAGTCTTACCACTACGCGTCCCTGGATATTGCGCATTCAGATCGTTAAGATTGCGCATAGATAACAAAAGCTTAAAAGTAGGAACTAAAACAGAATAAGGTATCTTAAGCGCATAAATCGCACTTAAACTGTCCAATGCCTACGTAGGCCGTACATTTCTCATGCCACCATTCAGAACAAACAGAACAACCGATCCAATCCTCTGTAATCGGCTCTTTATACTCCTCATTGCAGCCACCGCATGCCCATTTCTTTTTTTAGGATATTTAGAAGGCTTTCTGCAAACTTTTTTCATTTTTTTCTCAGGAGTTTTCTTCAACTGATTCTCTACTAATAGCTGTTCTTTATATGAAGAACCACCAAGTATTTCAGATTTCTTATGTTTTCGCTTGTTTGCGGTCTTTCTTATACCTGATTTTGGTATAGGGCAAATATCTTGGAGTTTCACTTTGATTGCGGCCGATTCATTGCTGCAAGATGGTACCTGTGCAGGAACTTGGAAGATACCACCATTTTTTTCAGCTGGAGGACCGTCGAAGTTTTTCTTTTGCCCTGACTCAGAACTCACAACTGGTTCGGCTGGAGCTTCTGTTACTAGAGAAACATTCTCAATTGCTGTAAAAGCGTTCCTCGGAGTTGATGGTTTTTTTGGCTCCTTGTTGAAAACAGAAGCACGAGGCTCATTATCCATAACTGGTTCTCTCTGTTCATGGGGTGTTGCTTCTTGAGGATTCTCCTGTTGTGATTCTGAACATTGGTTATCATCCATTCCTCTTTCGGTCACAGCACTAGGAAGAAAATCTGCATCTGTGAAGATATCTGGATTGTATGGGTAGATTCCGGACACCTTGAAACATTCAGCAGCACAACCAACTGTAGCTGCTTTATTACACGCTGGAGTGAATAAAGACGTCATCTGAAAAGCAGTTATAGCTCTGCCTGGGTGGTTTCTCATCCATTTTTCACATTCGCTCGCAAAATAAGTCTTCAACGCACTATGAAAACCTTTGTCTAGTGGTTGCATCTTGTGGCTGCTGTGTGGAGGTATGGTTAGAGCTATTATGTTATTCGCTCGATAAAAGTCTACAGCCCCTATTGTACAATGCGACACATGATTGTCAAGAACCAGAAGGATAGGGTGTTCTTTAGTTGGTCTTGTGTGATCTTTAAAGTGACCTAGCCAGTTTAAAAGAAGTTCACTATTAATATAACTTGTGTCTGAGACCATTCCAATAGACGCTGGTGGTGCGCCATCCAGCAATTCTGCTTTCATCCTTTTGCGACCGAATATGAAAGCGGGAGGAATGAAGTGTCCAGATGCACTCTTAGCATTCACTACGGTTACGTTCGTTCCTCTTTCAGCGCTAGAAATCTTATTAACAGCGCGCTTTCCTTTTTTTGATATGACCCTTGGAGGATTGTTGGGTACGGTAGACAGACCAGTTTCATCCATATTATAAATGGAAGTTGGAGGAAACTTATACTTGTCCATCAATTCTGCTAAATTTTTGTAAAACCTCACATTGTGGCTTATTAAATCCCATCGCCCTAGCAATACTTGTGGAAGTTGGACGTCTTAGTGAAAGATCTGGGTGCCGACTGAGAAATCCACGAAGCCAGTGTTTGCCTGCCATTTTCTTTTCGGCATTGAAACGATGAGGAATATTATTTTTCACCACAAACTCGTAAGCAGCAATCCTCAAATTCTTAGGAGTCATCCCTTGAAACATATTGTCAAGATCTTCCAAATAATTACAAAATTCCTGTTCAATTTCGGGAGAAAGAGTTGCATCATATCTACCAAGCTTTGTTGCAGCTTCTTTTCTCTTCAGGCGATACCGCAAAGTACTTTCTTTCATCCCGTACGACGATGCTACTTTTCTTGTGCTTTCACCATTTTCTATTCGTCTTCTAGCTTCCTTTAAAACATATTGAGGGCACAGCGAACGTTCCGACGACCTTTTTCTTTGATTAGGCATTCTGAAAATGAATATTTAAGGTTGTTATATCAAATTAAAAGTTATGGTAGGGTAAGTCTGCGCGCGTAGTGTTACGGACCGTGACTCTGCGCAGTCTTAGGGAATAGCCCAATATACAATTATGTGACTCCTAACGCCATCTATTGAAAATATCAAAAATTATATCGCTCGCCGGCTGTATAGGTTAAATCACGCAAACGAAAACACTGGTCAAATCTTTGATAGTACTTCAGGCTTTCATGTAATTACAGTTTGAAATTGAGAAACAATAACATCAGAATCGATATTTAACTTCAAACTTACCTTGCGACTAGGTTTTGAGAGGTTTTTGGTTTGTTTTTTCTACAGCGCACTCACTCACAGCAACGGCCCAGAACACGAGAGAAGTTAGTCGACAATGTCATTTTGCTTTCGAAATATGGGAGCTGCGCAATCTTACCTCCTGCGCAAAGTTAGGGCACCCTACCCAATACCTTAAGACAGGAACACCAAAGACCAAAGTATTATTCGAAAACAACATAACCTGCTTTAACATAACCTAACTTTTCATCTTTCAAATATGATCGATCATGCAACATGAAAACATCGTCTATCTTTGTCGGATACATGCAAATTAGCAATACAGTTTGTTTAGACAATAAAATTCTGTTTGTCGCTGTCTAACATATCAGAAACTTCATTAAATATATTCACAAATCGCTGTCGTTTGTCTATTCTACAGACTAAAATGATAATCGTCATCTTTCGTGATTTCGACTATCGTAGCCCTTTTTCATTGTCGTTGATAAGAGAAATAGACTCAGCGTTCTTGTTATACCACTACATGGTTCTTCGGCTAGCTCAATCCGAAATTTTAAAGAACCTCTGAAAGCATAGCTCGAAATTTTATGGTTGATTATACGAAAGAAAATTGTGAGCGTTGTTATTTTCTTATATAAAGCCGTACCTTCTCGCTCTGCATTATAAAAGCTCTAAAAATATTTGAAGGATGTTCTTAAGGGTAATCCGAATTTAATTGAGGGTTGATCCGCCATTAAATAAATCCTTTTTTAAGGGCTACTACTACGGCATTCAAAAGAATTTTATCATCTCAGCGTAAAACGAATATCTACATTTTCAGCCCTGTTGGACCATGGAAGGCCACCACAACAAATAAAGTGTATTTTCCTTTATTTATTAGTTAACGAGTTTACTTGTACTAACAACATATCGCCTCAGGAGCACTTCGGTTTTCGAAAACGACGTAGGACTGTTTCTGCACTGTTATAGTTAATGATATAATCACCAATTTGGATAGCAACCTGTCAACAGTTCTCGTCTCTGTCGATTTTAGTAGTGCATCGTAAGCCATGATCTACATCTAGCCAAGTGTACTTCTCTTGGATTTGATCGAAATATTATTTGCTTATATTGATTGTAAAACATGAAAATGTCTTGCATTAGAATGAAACAATACATAGTTGTAATACAATTTTTCCATGATAATATCCGATGGACATTACCTACTTGAACACTATTGTAAAACTAAGAATGTATTCGTAAAATGTTTTGAAAGTTATTTTAATTAGGATAATATCAGAATGAAATAAGCTCTCGATAACTTTTACACTGACATAAAAAAATGTTAACCGATCAAATAACCTCAAGGCCACAACGTACCAGACATCATTAGAAATCGAAAATTCAATAAATATTGAGGTGGTACAATTTAGTAAGTTGTACAGTACACCCGACTTTCCCCACCTGAAAACAAAGTATTAATCTTTTGGTGTTTTCTGAATTTTTGGCAGGGAACTATTGGGATTCCTAGGGCACTACCGATATTTTCACTAAAACAGAATTAAGTGACCATTTACCTGAATACATGTGTTTTGCTAAAAGCGCTTGTTACAATTTTAACGTCGACGACCGAGGTCAATCAAGCTATTGCGACGCAAGCGGAACGTCTTTGACTTTTCAATTGTTGACTGCCAATCTGGACCAGGAACTCCAGGGGGTCACGGAACATGTTTAATGAAGACTCCAGAGTAAACAAATCAATCATGATGCTCCAGTACGCAACTTTTTCAGCCAGCGCGGGCCATACGATTTTTGAGACCCTAAAATCATCACTGATCACACGAACTCGCTTTATTTATAGCTCTGCTCCTAGCCTAGCACTGACATAACAGTAAGAAGAGTCCCGTGTAAGAGCTACCGTTCAGTCGCTGAAAACGATCTATCTTCTCTCTGATCGTATTTCTTCCATCGGATGTCTGCATTATATCTAAATTACGGCGATATCAATTACCACATAAGCATTACATGTAATTAATTATTTGTTTCAGAGACTCAAACATCTCGATAATCCACCTCCGAGGTCCCTCCGAGCCATGGAAACCATCGTCGTATGCGTCCAGCGGTCGCTCCTACTTCGCCAGCGGTCGCAACGCCGCCTCCAGCCTATCAACTGCCCCGCCCCTCACGAAACACCAATCGCTGAGCGGCACGGGCGGATATAAATGGCCAGGTTCGACGGCGACGTACCTTATTGGAGGAGGGACCGACACGCCTACGCAGACAGTGGTGGAAACGGGCTCGCCCGGATGCGATAGAGAGCTGTCGCCTGTAAGATGGTGCGATAGGGAGGTGAGAATAGGGAGAATAGGGAAAATTATTAGCTTAATAGAATTATTATAAATGGACGAGATCATCAGAAACGTACCTAATAGGGGATCGAAAGGTTGTGGTGGAAACAAACACGCCTGGTTGCACTAGGGAGCTGTCGGCCTATAAGGTCGTGCGTTAAAGAAGCACCTTAGTGACGTTTTTCTGAATATATCTGTCGTCCAGGTAACAATCATTTGGTTTGTTTTTTGACGATACTAAACTTTATAATTGGCGAAAAATTATGCGCCACTGATTATTGCAAAAAAGTATATATGAAAAATCAAAATAATAAAATGTCTTTATTAGAATCACAACAATAAGGCGAAACTGAGCTAGTTGGATACTCTTACACCCAACTCTACAGTGTGAGGAAATATGTCCATACAACACAAAATAAGAAATATACCAACCTAAAAATAAATAAATCGGTTTGACGTACAACTGAATGAACTAATAAAAAATGATAAAAAAGCACATTCGATTGACAAACCCACGCTAGAAGTATTCTCTGTCAAGTACCTTAGTAGGAATCATACTTATACAACAGCAATGAATTTGGAAAAGCATGAATTCAAAATCAAACTGATGATCCATCATTCATTTAATGCCTAGTGACTGGCTACATGAAGACCTAGTTCTAATGTCAAAAAAAACCCACGCTATCTTGGTTTACCAAAAAGGAACCGGATTCTCCCTGCAGACATTCGTCAGAAAATTTCTAACAAAAGAGCAGCAATTAAGCAAGCGAAGAGGTATGGTCAGCCAGATGACATTCACAGAGCAACGAATTTTGTTCATGAAGTGAGAAATGCTCTTCATGAATTCCGTAATGAGCAATGGAGCGACTCTCTTTCAGGGATGCTTGACTCAAGCATTTCTCTCTGGAAAGTTGCAAAGTCGCTCAGAAACAGAAAGCGAGAACAACTCCCGCACATCCACGGTCCTAGGGGCATAGTCTGTAGGACAGAGGAAAAGGTCGAGGTTTTCGTTGATGCAATGGAAATTCAGTTCTCTCCCAACTATGACCTTGATAATGACCTCGACGAGGAGCAACATATCGTAAGATCCGTCAGGAGATATTTTAGGGCCAACGGCGTCAGTGGCAGTAGTGCCTCCCTTAGTGATTTTTCCTCAGAGGAATCTTCAGAAGATTCCTCAACTGAAGAGCTGCATGGCACATCAGCGGAATCTCCTGAGACTCCGCATTGCACACCAGCAGAGCTCCAAGGTCGTATTAAATACATCAACGTACGTAAAGCACCTGGAGAGGATCGAATCACTAATAAGGCGACGAAGCTTCTTTCGCGGAAGTCCTTAACATATCTCGTGGCAATAATAAATGCAAGGACCCAGCACTTTCCAACGGCGTGGAAGACCGCTGATGTTATAGTGATTCCAAAGAAGGTGGGTTCGATATTCCCCCAGGATTACCGCCCCATTAGTAAACTATCAGCTCCTTCTAAGGTCGCTGAAAAGGTGATTCTACTTCACCTTGAAAATTTATTGGCAGGCCACAATGTGATTCCTGACGTGCAATTTGGCTTTCGGTCTGAGCATAGTACGGAGCTACAGGACATAAGGCTTGTTGAACGAGTAACCAGGGGGTACACCCGTAACGAAAGTACTGGCATCTTGCTTCTGGATGTCTCAAAGGCATTTGACAAGGTGTGGCACAAGGGCCTTCTCTACAAATTGATCCAGAAGGGCTTCCCCTTTTGGCTCCTAAAACTTTTGAAATCCTTCCTCGAGGGTAGGAAATTTCGGATCAAAATTAATAACGTTCTGTCCCTCAAATCCGGTGTCCCTCAGGGTTCGGTTCTTGGACCAGTCCTTTATTCACTTTTTATTCATGACGTCCCTTGCCCCAGCAGCTGTGAAACCTATGTCTATGCTGATGACACTGCCCTGGTGGCCCAGACGTGCTCTGGGGATCTAGTTCACGACAGGCTGTAAAGTGCAGTGGACGAGGTATTGGAATGGGCGAATCGGTGGCTGATCAAAATTAATCAGTCGAAAACGTAGTCAATCTATTGTACTAAAAAACGTAGCGGTGCCCCGTCTGAGGTTTCAGTGAATGGAGCTCGGGTAACATGGGAAAGCTCTGCTAAGTATCTCGGTGTCACTCTTGACAAGGGGATGGTCTGGCAGAAGCACACTGAAGGGTTAAAAACTAAATTCCAAATCTTGTTTTGGCAACTCTACCCTATGCTATGTAGAACATCATAATTAAGCTTGATCAACAAAGTTCGGCTATACAAGATGGTTATTAGACCAGCGATCACTTAGGCAAGTGCGGCGTGGTGTTTTCTCGCCAAAACGCATTTGCGTGCCTGCAGATTTTGCAAAACAGAACCTTGCGTACAATCACTAACGCCCAATGGTATGTTTCCAACGAGACCTTTCACAGAGGCCCTGACATCCCTTACCTAAGGGACTACATCAAATAACAAGCGCAGCTACGTTACAGTCAAGCGAAATCGCATAACAACCCTTTTTTGCGCGAGTCAGTAGACTACACAGTCGAGCAAGTTCGCAAGCACACAATGCCGCGGCTCGCACTGTGAACAAAATTAAATCTTGCGACTTTAGCTCTGCCTTTTTCCTTCCTTTCTTTCTTCTTCCCTTCTTTCTCCCTGACTTTATTTGGTATCTGGGAAACCAGACCCGACAGACCTACCGACTTACAAGACTTCATCCAAGAGCAAACGTCCTACGGACCGCTCTGACAAACAATGACGAATAGAAAGGAATCGGACGAGATCTAATAATGATTGGATAGAAATACAAAATAAAAAAAAGAAAAGATCATAAGATCCAATCACAACAGATCTAGCAGCAGATTTTGAACCAGCTGCCTGAGTGTTACAACACTTTTGCTTCTCCATGCAGGGTTGGTTGAGGTGTACAATCTCTCTGCATTGAACGTAAAACATTTTTGAAGCAATGCGGTGTAGTGCAAAGGCATTGTTAGATTTATATTATGCCTCAGACCTCTAAGATTAATGATTCATCTTGTTATTAATTTACTATGGAGATGAATAAGCTTCTTACATTACAATCGTTGATACGTTTTCAGCCATTTTGACTTCTTGATCTAAGAAGAGACCTAACTATATTTCGTGTACGTAAATATAAATCGAAAATTATATTAAATACAATAAAGGACCTAAAAAGACCCCTGAGGGATACCTGAAGAAACATCCACAGAAGATTAGACACACCTCTAAATGTCTTTATCTTTTGTTTACGATTAGTTAAGTAAGTTTCAAATAACTTAAGAGGCATTTCAGAAAGTCCAATAAACTTTAACTTGCTCAACAACATTTTATGGTTAACCGTGTCAGTCAGCGCTAAAACTGTATTAAAATGTTTATCCATATTATTTAAGATATTGTCTGTCAAATGGAGTAGTGAAGAACTTGTACTGTGTCCAGCATGAAACCCAGACTGTTGGCAAATTCCCTAAGGCATTTTTTAAGTATTTTCAAGTCAGTAAAACTGATGTTTGCCAAAACCATACGTTGTTTCACTTAACATAGCATCAACTGAGCAGGGGAAAATGTCCCTAAGACTTGAGCAATCGCCAAACCATCAAAGCTTGTTCACATGTTAGGTACAGGGTATCTCGCTATGAATCGGCCACTCTTCAACGTTCCATATCAAAAGCGGTAGAGTTTCGAGTACATTTTTTTTGATGCAATCTCTTTTTTTCATATACTCAAAAAAGTGCATTTTTCAAATGGATTATTATTATTATTATTATTGTTATTACAATATTTAAATGAGCGGAGTACAATACTATTAACTCATGTACAAAAGGAAAAGGTAGTTTACGGATAAGTAGCGTAAAACACATAAAATAAACATTAAAAGCGCATAGCTATAAAGGTTGTTCACTATTTCATCTATCGTAATAGAGAGAGAGACGGCTCCTTTTGCAGCATAAAGCTGTGACCGCAGAGATTGTTGAGTGACAGTAGGTACTGGAAGACAGTGAATTCTAGTATTGGCCTTACAAATGGCTTGTAAATGAAGGCGTCGGATCCTTTGAAAGACCTCTCCAGCGTGTATAGGCTTTGGTTACTACGTGGTGTGTATGCTCCGACCACGATAAACGTTTGTTGACTACATCGCCTTGATCAATATGACTAGAGACCTCTTTAAAGACGAAGACACGACACTTTGACAGGTTCAAGGGTAGAGCAGAGTCTGTAACGGTGCTGCAAATGTTCGTGTGGAGGACAGCATGGCGGGCAGGTCACTTGTGTACAAAAGGAAAGGCACGTGGCCCATGTGTTATACTTATTTTCATTACTTCAGTGAAAAAGAAAATTCTGCTTTTAAGTATCCGAGTTCATACCAGTTTGCGTCTAGCCGCCTATGCAATCTGATTAAAGCCTGGATAGCATATATTAAATGCTACACAAAATTTCAGTTTTTGGCCTACAGTAATAAAAATATAAATTATCCACCCTACGCTTTGTAGTTTTTTCTAAGATTTCTTAAAATTCGCTCAACTTAATGGCCCACTCTGTACTGTGAAATTTCATGAAGCTGCTAATGGACATGGTGTAACAAGCGTAGGCCAGTGTGACGACGCAGTGGGGGTTGTTCCAGTGAACTGCAACGTTCAAACACGGGGAGAGAGCAAATATGTATGTATACGTACACCGCGCTGATTTCCATCAACAGTTGCACCTATTGTTGCATTTCACTTGCGGCGTAAACATTGCAAGATTGTCATCCTGTTAATGCATCTAGATTGGTATAGCTACGTATATGGACATGTTTTAAATTCAAACGGACATGCGATGTATGAAACCAAAACATACAGGGCGAATTTTTTGACTGGGCTCGGTTGATAACTTTGGTATTACACGTAGGATGTGAAAAAGCTATTAACAAACATTGTAGCCTACGGTATGCTTCTTACTTGGTGTATTTTATCTCTACTAGATGATTCCTAACTACAACTTTCGTTACGACAAAAACTATTTTCTCGCCATTAATGTTTAAATGACTAACTTTGAGTCTGAAAGTGAGATCTCGACATAATACATACATACTACTTATTTCTCTTTGAACACATAATTTGCTACAAGTCCTAATATTTGACTTTTACAAGAACCCAGAAACGGTTTCATAAGGGTGAAAACTAGCCTCACTCATACTTAAATAATAGTAGATTTCTTTAGCAACTTTCCCGATGATTTTGATTTTTATATTAACAGATATTTCCATTTACCTCATGTTTGCTTCTCCTAGAAAAACAGGTAATCTCGGATAGTTTTCAGGAAAAAAAATGAGTTGAATCAAGATATTCCTAAGCGTCTTGTTAATTCCTAAAGTGAGGTTAGCATTAGTTTCTCAGCGTTGACTTAGAGGTTAGAATAGATTTGTCAAAGTCGACGTTCTATGCTTACATTGGAATTCATCGAATCGGATATTTCTTTTGAAACACGCGATCACTTTTTTTCCAACTACCTTCACAGAAATCAAGTACTAACAGCATATCAGTCTGTCCATCAAAAGAATATTCCATATTCACGAGAAGAAACAAGCAACAATAACAACTTAACCAAAAATAATCTCAAGCATCAATTAATTTAGAATTTATAAAGAATAAACGACAAATTAACAATAAAAAGTAAACTCAAAAATTACTTCCTAATTTTAACTTTATGAAGCTTGTTATCAAAAATAATCTGACACTGACATAGCATCCCACATGTCCGCCAACTAGATGCCTACTAGATTTTAAGACTTGATGTAATAAGAAAATTTCTAAGGAGCTAACTCCGAAAAAAAAATTTCTCTAAAACTATGCCAGATGACCTGTTTCTATAAGAAATTAAAAATTTAGTAAATGCAAGGATCTCTTAAAGAAAAAAATTCAGAGTTGTTGGAAAAGTTGCGAAAAAATTCTGCTATCGTCGAACCCTTCTGAATTTTTTGTGAAAGTCAAATATTAGGAAGTCTAGCAAAACATATGTGTTCAAAATTTCATCCAAATCGGATTTTCGCTTCCGCAAATATCTCGTGTTTTAAAAAGAAACTTTAACGCCCTCTAACGGACAAACGACGTACTTTTGCATAGAGGGAAATCATGATCAACCGAACTTACTTCGAGTCCAATAATACGTGATTCTTTTATGTTCACGGAATATAGATACACCCTATGTGATATCAAAACTGTCTATAAAAGGAAATTAGACAAATATTGCTCGGGTAATCTATATCAAAAATGTACAAAACAAAATCAAGAATTTTTAAAGATATTAGCTTATTAAAAGTAACTCTCCAAGATGATCAGAGACTTCCAACACACAAAGACGAAATCTAGAGCTTTTTTAAGAAATTTGGCATACCAAAAGCAATTGAAAACTAGAGAAATGAACTTTTATCAATTTTTTCCAATAATCCAATAATTACCTGACAGATATTAGAGTTGAAAACTAACACTTTATTCCATTGTTCGTTATTTGGGAGCATCCAATTAGAGCATGTTTGCAATTTGTTTTCCGATGTGCGGGAAAACCCTCAATATTTAATATCTGTACGGATAAAGGTATCTCATTTCATGTATGGAAAATACTCACTGAATCCTGGTATATTAACATGTTGGGTAAACGCATCAGCCTTTTTTTATCGCTGTATCATAATATTCATATTTGAAGAGTTATTGCAGATTGTTTTTCTAGAGTGATAACAATCAATAGACGATTAGTTGTCGCTACCACTGTCGGTTTTTTGGTTTACTGTAGTGGAAAACAAGATCTGACAACAAATCCAAACTCATCAACAAGCATCCACGAGATTAACATGGCACATATTCACTATCCCACTCAGTCGTTTAAGTATCTGATGGCAGAGGATAGATTTTTTAGTTAGTAGCTTTTTAACATTGCGTAATTTTGTAAATGTATAATTTAATTTTTCAGGTGGATGGAGTGTATTTGGGCAAATCCGGTTGGGTGCAAGTTCAGAGACACTCCATGGACGATCGTCGAACGTCAGGTTACTTCAGCAAGCCTCCAACAGCGCCAATTGCTCAGAGCAAGAGATCAGCTGGGGCCAGGCTAGCAGACTATCACTTCAACAGCGAACCTTCCAGGTATACATGACATAAAGTAGTATTTTTCTGACCTTGCTCCAAAGCACCATTACACTGGTGAACAAAATTAAAATAATTTTTTGTGACATGGACAAAACAACGTGGTTATTACGCAAAACGTACCCAAAAAGCCGGAAATATCATTCGATCTTTTCTATCACCCACGGTTTTCTTGCAATAAGGCATTTTATTTGCTACTTATGCTCGTAAAATATAAGGATATATATGTATGTGTAAGAGTACTAATAAACACCCGAAAGAAACATTAATCTCAGAATGTTGTTGTCGTTGTTTTACGGCGATATGTTGCTCCTGAAGCATCTCTTAATAATGTCCAGCAATAATCAGCAAGCAAATTGACACTCCATTTGCCTTGATACCGTTTTTCCAAAACAGAAAGCTGATGGTAAATTAAAATACTTAACAGTATGTTTCGATTTTGGTCCAATACCTGTAATATTTGTGAGGTAAAAATAGCAATCAGTAGTATGGTCTCTCGGTTCTCTCCAAACCATTGGTACCGGAAAGGGCATTTTACGATTGTCACCCCTTAAACAACCTGTTAACAACGTTACACAAGTCTTACAACATATATGAGGGGGCCATAGTTTATCTTAGTCGCCAACTTTAATTCCAAAATAAAGTTCGTATGCTTTTAACACAAGGGGAGTAAAAGTACGTTTTTACTATTTACACGATTTTTTTTATACTCCAATTACCACGAAGGCCTAAGGCCTAAGCACCCATTGCGTACCGTGGGGCTATAGGGGGATACATGGGAAAGGGGGAACGCCACACGGACTCAGGTGAGGGAACATGTGTGCATGCAACATGCACACATTCTGGCTCCGCCTACGAGATCCGCCGGGTGGTACCTCCGCGTTCGACAGTCAGAGACCGTCTACCACCTACAGACAATCACAACATCGATAGCCAAGAGAAAAATTTCTCCTGGGACGGGACTCGAACCCGCACAGCGCACGGCGGCTGATGAGGAGATCAAAGAGTCTACTACTGAGGCCACCGCTGCTGTCTAGGCAACACAGTATTTTAACAAAAATTAACAGTACTCAGAACATCTCAGTACTCTTCAACACAGAAAACGTAACTGACTCGGCTGCTATTAGTCTACTAATAAACGCAATATGCTCTCTAAGCATAGAGCTCGCATATAATAAATAGAAATAGACAGGTCTTAACATTATATATGTGCGTCATCGCATAAACACCGAGAAATGCAGCAATATGAGATTTTACGGTATTGTAATTCATAAAAGTAGATGTTACCGAATATCTGTGAGTGATAGAAAAAATCTGTTTTTAGATTTGATTTAAGGGTCTCAAAATACAAAAGATACACACAAAAATTGTCTTGTTACAAATCCTGTGTAATAGAAAAAATACAAAAAGGTTGCATATGTGAATAATATGCTGAAAAGCACTGAAAGATCCACGCAATGTTTTTGTTTCAACGAAGAATGATGCCAATCAATAAATGTGAACTAATAATATAGCTTCCGTTAGCCCGACCACATACGGCCCAGCATGGACGGCTGTTTCATGCTATTTAGTAACTCTCCATCATTTCTAAGGGTTCAGCTATTCGGGGCCATGTAATTTGTTTGGCGAATGTGCTTAAGCTGTATAGTGAATTAACACGTGGAGTAGAGTGTTGGTAAATCCGGGTTCCACAAAAAGCACTTGCCTGGCTTCGCCTATACATCACTACTACTACTACTTTAGCGTGGTATAGGCTTCTCTGTGAAAGTGAAAACCGCAAGCAGTCTGTTGGAGCTGTATGCCAGTTCGCATTGTCAGCCGGGTCACCACTATGGCCGCTAGATGCCGCCAGTTCTGGTAATGTAACATTGAACAAACTAGTAATCCGATCGCAAATGGCCAAGCATGGACAGCTGTTTCGTTCTATTTGGCAACTCTTAAAAATGCTGGAAAGTTGCCGAATAGTGTCTGACGTGTCGTGGGATCGGATATGAGAAAGGGCAGCGCTGCCAGATGGACGGTACCTACTAAAGGTAGGACGGGGAACGAATATATATGGACCGATTGTATGGGCTTGTTTGACCGACTTAATCAGTTTAATTTCTCGGCTGTACATATTAGTAGCTAACTTATTTCTCAGACGGTTTAAGTTGTACTGAATTTATATATATATATATATGTATATATATATGAACTGATGAGTGAGAAGTGCAGGGTCAACCAACTTGACGCCATTTTCTCCTGATTAAAGAATAGAAACTAGCGTTCCGGTTTAGAATATCCTATTTTAGTACGGATAATGATTGGACTACAAAAGTGTGTGTTTGTGACTGACTCCTTTCACATATATCGGATATAAGCTTTCGATTTCAGTGGTGACTTCTGTGATGACAGATAACAGGAGACATAACGCTGTTTCCAGGAAAAATTTTAACTCTAAGCTTAAATTAACATTTTCTTCAAGAGCTTCTGTTCTAATTTTCTAGTAATACTAATATGGCGGCAATCACAAGTATTGCATCAGTTTTATTGATCTAGTTCCTGGAGGTATTCACGCGATTGCCTTTTTGGTCAGTTACTGTTTCATTACCTGCTAAGGATTAAATTCGTCCGTTAGGTAGGCACTATTATTGCAACATTGTCATTATTCCTGTAGGATCGAAATAGCAAAAGATTCAAAATATTATATATACAATCTGAGAAGGTACGATCACGTTCATCACCCAATAGTTTCTATGAACTGGTTAAAAATATCCGATATGGTCAAATACATTTTCGTCACATTTGTCATATACTCGTATATTAAAAGCTTCTGTTCCCTCTCACCTTGGGCAAAAGCCATCTCCTCACATCGCCACAATACAGGACAGCCATATTTCTCGTTCTTTCACGTACAATAGGGTGGAGTTGATCAATCCATTTTACCAAAACTTTTTTTTTCTCTATCCTGTTTAAAGTATATGTTCATCCTGTGTTTCTTCCTGATACGTACCATTAGTACAACGGCAGACTAGGTGATATACTTTCTGATAACATTTTTCTATTACTGATTGTTTTAGGGTAAGGCAGCAAATAAGCTTACGTTATGGTTGGTCAGTTGTAACTGTGATACTGGTATTTGCTACAATATTTGCCTAATATTCTAGAAGTGCCAATCAGATATCAAAAAGTAGCAAATGCGAATTTTGTAAACTCAATATACTCAGATTTGGATTCGTAATTGGAAGCAAAACAGTAGTAAAGGGTCAATAGATCGTTCTTATGTCTCAACCGATTGCACTGCGCTAGCTGGCATCTTCGCCAGCAGAGCTTAGCACTGATGGATTCCATCAGCTTGTTCTAGTGAATAAAAGAAACATCACGTGCAGGTTTTGATAAGGAGTATAAATGACATTTGAATACAGATAGAACATGGATAGAAGTGAAGGGTGATGATGATAGAATGTTTGTTTGTTACAGGCCTGCCTTTCTATCTTTGCAAAGAGGCGAGACTGCTCCATCGTCCACTGTTCACACGCCGCCCTCTCCATCGCCGCCCCAGCCGACCGAAGAGGAATATTCTCCACCTTCTATCACGCCCATCATTTCACCGCCGCCCGCGTTTCAGGTGAGCTTTTTCAAGTTCTTTTTTGACCAAATACGAGGTGGTTCCAGAAGTACCCGCCCCACCCAACGATGAAAACACAAAAATTTTGTATAAAAATTTATTTATTTTTCAACATAATCTCCTTTGAGCTCTGTACACTTTTCCCAGCGATGTTCAATAAGTTCGATACCCTTTTTATAATAAGAACTGTCTTGCTCCTCAAAATAGCCATTACCTGCGGACATCACTTCTTCATCGTTGGAAAATCTTTAAGCACTGAGCCACGTTTTCAAGTTTGGAAACAGACAATAATCCAAGGGGGATAAATCTGGTGAATAGGGTGCATGAGGTAGCAATTTAAACTTTAATTCGTTAATTTTGGTCATTGCAATAACGGATTTGTGAGCTGGTGCACTGTCTTGATGAAACAACACGTTCTTCTTAACCAAATGCGGCCGTTTTTGCTTGATTTCATCGCTCAGACGTTGCAATAAATTCGCATAATACTCGCCGTTGATAGTTATACCTTTTTCAAGATAGCCAATGAAAATTGTCCCACGCGCATCCCAAAAAACCGCCGCCATAACCTTGCCTGCAGATGAAACGCTCTTCGCCTTCTTTGGAGCCGGTTGTCCCTTTTAAGTCCATTGTTTTGATTGTCCTTTTGTCTCGGGTGTAAAGCTCATCCATGGTTATGAAACGAAGCAAAAATTCTGCTTTGTTGCTGTGAAACTTCGCTAAACATTCAATTGACAAAACATTCACGACACTGTTTTTGATCGATTACGAGCAATCGCGGCACCCATCTTGCATACAGCTTAATCATGTCCAAATTTTCAGATAATATGCGATGAACCGCACTTTTCTGATATGCCTACTATGTCTGCTAGCTCGCGCACTTTCAGTCGACGATCATTCAGTACCGCTTTGTGAATTTTCTTCACCATTTCTGGAGTCGTCACCTCATTTGGTCGACCACTGCGATGCTCGCCTTGGCAGCTCATGCGGCCTCGTTTAAACTCTGCTACCCAACATTTTACTGCAGCTTTTATATTGGTTGAGCTGAGGCCTTCAAAATAAAGGTATTGTACCACATAACGATGACCGATTCTCTCCATTTTCACAAATTCACTGAAAACGTTCAGTATTGATCGCTGCCAAACAAATATTAAACAACTTGACACATGCTTTATAGGTTGTATACTTTCTAATACAATGGTATTTTTCAAACAACTATCGCCATCTCTCGGTCAGGCCGGGTACTTCTGGGACCACCTTCGTACCCCATATATTCAAATAATAAGTTGCCTTTGAGAAATCAGTATCATACGGCAAACCTCTGGTTCGTTGGTCACACCATCCCATAGGACCACGCTATTTGTTAAGAGCTTCTCCTTTGTACCACCCTATCTATAGGGTCCCAGCTTTAACGTTTTTTGTTACCATTTTTAAGTCAAAAGTATAAAACTTTATCAAAACATGTCATAATTCTTTATATTGTGCAGTTTTACACTTGTGCAATTGTGACATAACTCATTTTACTTGTTCTTAATTTCATCACCTCATCTGTTACTTTGTTTAATTTCCAAAAGTACTCTAATTTTTTCAGCAAATTTTAGCGTTTTGGTGTTATGTGAATGCATTCTTAATATGTTAATTTTCATATTGTTTACATTTTTTCCAAATGCATGAACTTAGTATTGTAATTTTGTTTGGCCCTTGTTAGAATAAAAAACAAGTTTTAGCTGTCAGAAATGAAGGGTACTGGGGAATAACGACAATAGTCCATCCGGACTAATTTTGATAAAATCGGTAAATAAGGTTCACTTACTTGTTGGAAAGTAAAATTGATGAAAAAATAAGTCGTAAAGAATATCTTTGCTAAACAGTGTATTTATTGGTAAAATAGATTTTACAAAATTCAGAACTAGCATATAGGCCCATTTATGTCGATTTGTGAAAAACTACGCGGGGATTCTGTTTACAAAACTTGAGCATTCTGACTGGTCGGGTTGAAAAGGGGCACTTGGTTGGACAAAACGGCGATAAAAACGTACTCCAATCTTGAAAATCACAATTTTTGCCGCAATCAATGACTTCAAATGGTGTAGGTTTCACACGCCAATTTTTCAATTCATCTCTCCAGTCATCCGGTACCTCAGTGTATGCTCTTTGGTCCATGAGACCCATATCTCTGTCACACTCGAGGTATGAATGCCCAGTGATCGGGAATATTAGTTTCACAGTAGTAAAACGATTTTTCTTGGTAACCAAGTAATGCAAAAACCGAATAACTGTAAAGTTTTTATTTTGCCCTGCACAGGAGTCACAGAAAATGGTTCTTCTACTTCCATAGACAGGATGTTATAAAAAAAGTGATACAGCATAGAACAGACATCGTCAGCTCCTTTCTTAGCAATAGATTCATCGTAGGTATAAAAGATAGAATTTCAGTTTGACAGAATATGGATGTTAAAACTGATGAAATTTAGTTGCCGCTTATAGTAAACATCATTTGTCGTGATATTTGGACAGGGCAAGTTTTTTTGTAATCCATCGTGATACTTTCGATAGCGGAGAACTTCGAGGCACTAAGATAAGCGTTTTGTGCATTAGTGTTTCCTAGTTCATCAAATTCACGAAGAAGTCTACAGCGTTCAGGTTCAGGAACACTATTAAAACAGCGAAAACGTCCACAAAAACAATCAGATCCAAGTTCGCGGGTAGTGGCGCGCAACGTTTTCACTACGTCTCTTTATCTTCCTGTTTCCATATGGACTCAGGCCGTTTTTTCATACACGTGCAGGGACTCATTCCATTCTTCCCCGGCACAGGGAATCTTATAGCTGTTGTTTTGCAATGTGTTGTGTGTTGCTTGTGTTTTTACAATTTAAGAAGCTGATTACAAGATAGCATTAAGAAAATGCCACCAAAATGAACTGAAAACTCAATTTAGCCAAATTAATGGACTAATGCCGTTTTTCCCCGGTACCCTTCAAATGTTTCCGATCCGCGTCTCTTCTGTTCCCGGCGGCCTGCCCGTTTTGGTAAGAATTCTGGATTAGGTATTGGTGAAGGGCTACGTGCCAGGTGGACTACCGCTAGGGCAGGGAAAGAATGTCTCTGGACTAATTTTATGAACCTGTTTGACTGACTTGATACGTTGACGATGACGTCGTTGAATGGGAAGTGGTTTCCTATATAGCTGCTAATCGCCAATGATAAACAATCAAGAATTCCTATGATTCGAAATCTTTGTGGTCAAATAAGTCCACTTCTTGACATTTCATAGGTACAATGAAACTGAATCTATTTTTACCGAATAAGTCGCCTTAGATGTTTCAGAGTTTTCTCAAGAAAAGCAGGGCAGTGACGTTTACGCTCCTCGAGAGATTGCTCATGAATCAATTATTGCTTTTCTAACTGTCCGGGATCCATTAGCACCAGGCTACAGGCAATGGAAAAGAATAAACGTCAAAATCCAGACAATGAAATTGATGAATATTTAAAATGGGTTTAGCAGACATCGATGCATTAAAAAGGGTATTTTATTAAGGTTATAATCGATAGTGACTAAACGGTGCTGCAGAAGATAATTATAATTCATCCAGGTGGGGTGATAGCTCGTTAAAATTTTCTTGCAGTGATGTGCACCGAAGTGAGATAGTTCTGTGAGTCGCGTTCACTATAGCGAACAACTTGTAGAAAAACTATTTGACGCAAGAACGCCTCCATTCATTAGATCTCTCAGTTAAGGAGTTTCAGCCTCGGTTAGTACTTGGATGGGTAAACTCAGGACATCGCTTATTGCTCTTCTTCTCTATTTTCTTAACAAATTGAACATTTCAAATCTTCGTAAACCGTCGCTGATATAGAATTAGAGATTGATATATGATGGATAATCCGGCAGCTACACATGGTGGGCTGCTTGTAGCAATAGAAGGACGAAAACACATTATTGTCCTAAAAAAAGGTTCAAGGCATACTTTTTTTTTTTCATCTGCAATTCTTAACAAAACCCGTTCCTTGGCGCCATTTTCATACTTCATGTAGGGCTCTGCGATACATTAGCCTTTTTTAGTGGTCATATTAAGCCTATTTCTTGGGTATATCAGATGCGTTGATCAGGTTTTCGCTAAGAATGATGGGAGACTCCAAAATCTCATTTTCTTACTCCTTTTACTCCTTCAAGACAGTTGAGCATTTTCTGATTGCCATATTCAAGTCTGTTCTACTTGTAACAACGAAAAACAATTTTTCCCTGGGAAACTTCAAAATTTCGAGATACACTATCCGAAGCTTCTTGCTTGTTTGCAAACTTGACTAAAGCGCGTTTCTGCTTTTCTACGTTTGATGATGAGGATTTTCTTCATCACTGTTTTTGTATCGAGTACACCTTATCTTACCAGTTTTCTTCTTCACCTACAGTCGTGACCAAAACAAGCTTTTGGGGTAAATCATGTGCATACCTAGATCATGAATCGGATATTAATTCTCCACTGAGATCAACGGGAGACCGAAAAAACATCATTTTTTACTTAAAATCAAACGTAAGCCAAAAAAGGCCATAAAAGCCTAATACAATCGTAGGAACGACTGACGATATGGCCCCAAGTTTCAACCCCTACAAAAGAAAAAACGAAAACTATAAAGCTCTTCTATCCTTGGCATAGTAGTAACCTTGTGCAGAAATTTTATCAAAATCCGACCAGTACTTCTCACAAGCAATATATTGGGACTGGTATAGAAATACTGATATTATCATAACGACTTCAGAAGTCTATTTTTCTTAGCCTAATCCTCATACTGCCGGGATGTATACCACCGGATTTATACTTTCAAGGAGCAAATAATTTCCGGGAGGAAACCCAAAATTGCAGATGGGTCATGTGCAATTAATTTCGACCGTCTTCCTTATCTGTGACATTAATTTATCGTTAAGTTGTAAGATAAATGTGCCGCGAAGCCCTTAAAATGGCTCCGATCATTTCCCGGGATTTATTATGTACAAAAAATGTTATCGATAACAAAATACTCTAACGTCGATTAATTTTTTGTGCAGCGTGGCTAAAAAATGTTGGCAAGTTTCCGATACAGCTGTGTTTACGTCATTGATTTTGTTTGCGCCACAGATTATTAGAAATCAATGAGATGATGGCTACAAAGCCATCGATGTGCTTTGATCCAAGACGGTTCCTGAAAATTTCCACACAGTAAGTTAAAAGTGTGAGCAATAAAAAGGGCATCGAAAGATCGAGTGATCGCGCATCCACAATATAAACATGTATTTGAGAAAAAAGTGATAGTATTAGATTCTATACTTTCCATGAATCGCTGTCATCAGTTCGTAAAGGCTTATGTCAAGCACAAGTTAGCCCTTCTGAAAAAAGTTACGAACACGTACCTATAAAAGAATTAAATAACCCTCCCCTCCCCCTGAGAGAAATGTCTGCGAGCGCACATGTTCATTAGCATGACTTATTCCGCGAGGATGACGATATTGACTGAATACTGACAGCCAGACTATGGTGCAGGTATCGATACGGGACTGTTGGAGATATTTCTAAGTTTTGAGGGTAAATGTATGACGAGTAAAATATGTCTAACGGAAGCCTAGAATTACCGGGGATGGAGATGTACAAATATACCAGCGTCAAAATATTGAGACATAGTCTCCCTCATTCCCTGAAATCCCTTACCTACAATTTTTAACTCCTGCAAAATGGTAATAAAGAATTGCGGAAGTAGCTCCTTTGGAAAAAATTATAAGCTGTTCAAATTCTTATTATATTTCCGAAATATTTTTTATATTCTTATGTTCCCAACACTCATGCCTTAAACCCATCCTGATTTTTGTATCCAATTTTTCCAGGACGCTGCCAAAAACGGAAAAGCTCCCTCAACGACATCCACGACTGGCAGCGCTAGCGATCGTGCAGGCGCCGCTCGCATGTTCTTCGGCAAGGGCACGCCCCTTTTGTCGCGCACCAATGCTATCGAAGATAGCGACGCTTCACCGCCTACGTCACCGGTAGTCCCGCCCACTGCGACTATGTCCGCCCCGTCTACGGTGGCCGCCCGAGACTTGAGGCGGGAAGCGAAGGCGTTCGGGAGACCCGGCGCACTTGGGGCGCAGGCAAAGTCGTTGGAGGATGCTGGAGCTAGGAGGAGGTGAGTGCGGATGTTTATATTCGATCATAGCATGTTTTATTCATAGATAGATGTTTACAACTGCATCAGATGTCAAAAATTCACTTGTAGCAAGTGAATAGTATACATACATACAGAATGAAATAGTATCTCTTTTGAATTATTCCAAATTAAGTTTACAATAGATGAATAATTTAAAATATCAAATTACAAAACGACATAGAAAGTTAAAGTGTTAACATACAAAAAGGTACGAGCAACAAAAAGCAGACAACACAACACGCGGTGTCGTAATCATAGTTAAGAGAGTATACCTTATAATATACTTATCAACTGGGCAAAAGCAATTTATTTTTAATAAATGCCTGATTTTTCTTCTAAATGTTAATGTTTCATATAAGATATTATATAAATGATAATCGGACTAGTTCTTCTATTAAAGTGGGGCGGTATCTAGGATTTCTTCAAGTGATAGGCATTTCTTGTATAGTACTCATGGTAGTCAGAATGTATTAAATATTTATGTTTATTTTTATGTATGTCTAACACAGTGTAGAGTTGCCATTCCCAAAGGGCGATTTTTACTTAGGTAATTTTTAGGAGGTATAATGTTTTGGGGAATATTTTGGGGGAAATCACCGAACCAAACCTCTTTTCATTAATGCAGTGTGATTTGGAAGATTCCATAATTTTTTTCCGAACTTCTTTTTCAGATTTCAATTAAGATACCATGCACCATATTACTTTCAACCAAACCTCTTTTGACTTGAAGTATTTTTTTTTAAAGTACCGATTCTGAGGGTTTTTTGCGCTTGTTCTAGGAGAATTCCGACACATCCATCTGGCATCGCTGTCTAGAAAATATACAAGGAAGTGGCATTATATAGAATTTTTGAAAAGGTTTCCTATAGTATTCTATGTCATTGATATACCTGCTACGATCTTTACAGTTTGTCTTTGCAGTTCAAGACATCTTTGCGGTAGACCATTGACCCTGCAAAGTAATTCTGTAGCTCAGCTATGAATGAATTAGCCCATAATAGCCCAGCAAGTCATCAATATGTATGCCTAGACCTTTTACAGAGCTTCCACCTTTCAACGAACATAAGTGACTTCTAACGGAAATATTTTCAATTTTATCTTTGTTCAATTTTAAATTGTTAGGTTGTACAGTGGTTAAGCTTGATCTTCACATTGTTTCATTGCTGCTTCTAGATTATCAAGCTTACTACTGGAATTAAAAATGTTTGCATCGGCAGCAAATATTACTAAGGCGGTAGGAAATAAATCAAGTAACAGGACAATTATGTATACGATGAAGAGGGGCGGTCCTAATACAGACCCTTAAGGGACTTCTTGTTGAAATCGAGCTGAAATAAATTTTTTATTACCACCAGTTACATACTGCATTCTGTTGGTCAAATATAATATGTATAACGTAACTCAGATCAGGACCACTTATGCCATAATATTACAACTTTTCAGCAAGAGGCTTATAAGTGGTGCTTTTTAATCGCTTGTTGCAACTTTACATTTGGGATAATTTGCCTCATGTGCTGCCTACAGTCGCCACTTTTTTAGATATGAGCAGCTGTCACCGCAGTTGTCCTCTAAGTTTTTTCCAATAGTGAAGTTGTCTCGAAGGCATACCATAAATACCGAAGGTTGATGTGGTGTTGTTGATGCGAGTTTGAAACTGTAGCTGATGTTAGTCGGGCTCAGATCCGCACCCTTATCACAAAACTGCATCTACAACGTTAGCCTGCATTAGAGCTGTGTGTCTTGTCTATTTTGAGATTGCTCCAGAGATGCCACCCGCCTTGATGATTCTATCGATCTCCTTCTGACCTACTTACAGTATATAGAACTAGTGTTACGAAAGTCTAGTTTTCGAATATTCCAAGGCTAAACTGACCTCGGTAGTCGAACGCACGTTAATGAATTTTATCACAGTACTACCAGGACCGATATCAGACCATCAAAAATTAGGTACGTTGCGTTTGGTAAGATTTCCATCACTGTCACCGTAACACATTCAAACGATAATTTTGTAAAAAGTAGGTGCCGCAAAAAAAGTGTCCTGTGTATTTTGTGGCTGCGTTTATTTAGTATTTATGATTGTATCGTCAGTCGTTCCACGATTTTGGGGGTGCTGCTAGCCGCTGGCCCCACGATTTTGGGGGATGCCGCTAGCTCCACGATTTTGGGGGTGGCGTTAGCCCCACGATCTTAGGGGTGGCGTTAGCCCCATGATTTTGGGGGTGCCGCTACCCCACGATTTTGGGGGTTGCCGCTAGCCCTACGATTTTGGGGGTTGCCGCTAGCCCCACGATTTTGGGGGTTGCCGCTAGCCCCACGATCTTGGGGGTGCCAATAGCCGCTAGTCCCACGATTTTGGGGGTAGCTGTAGCCCCACGATCTTAGGGGTGGCATTAGCCCCATGATTTGGGGGGTGCCACTAGCCCCACGATTTTGGGGGTTGCCACTAACCCTCCGATTTTATGGGTGGCGCTAGCCGCTTGCCCCACGATTTTGGGGGTGCCGCTAGCCTTACGATTTTGGGGGTGGCGTTAGCTCCACGATCTTAGAGGTGCCGCTAGCCGCTTGCCTCACGATTTTGGGGGTGCCGCTAGCCCCACGATTTTGGGGGTGCCGCTAGCCCCACGATTTTCCTACGGCCTCCTACATAGTTTTCTAATGTTCTGTGTCAGCGCTCTATTAAGGTTATGTTACGAGTATCTATTTTCATCAAATTGTTCATGCTTTTGATCCATATCATCTGTTATATCATCCTGGAATTTCCTACAATTCAAAAAGCAAACATTAGCGTCACAATAGGTGAGCGCTGACGCTGACACGGGACAGTAGAAATGTAGAAATACCTCAGCCATCCTGAAAGAGAGAAAGTACTATGAAAATCAAGTAGGTCATAAAGGCGTCCTAAAATTGTAGGAAGGACTGACGATACGGCCCTTAATGAATAAATAAATATGAAATTTCTTCGGGAGCACAGCCATAAATTTTTTTATATGCGCCCTTTAGAAAAAAAACCTCCGGGCGCCTGTGGTCATTGGTTGGATGAATGGCAAACAGTTTCTGGCGCCAAGTTGAGAGGGGCTGACAGTAACTGTTGGATCTGCATGTAATCTGTTTTCGAAAAATGTGAATGTTGAGGTCAGAGAGCGTCGTATCTCTTGTTATAAGTTTTCGTAAAACTCCTGAGATTTCCATATTTCACTTCTACAACAGAATATACTATCTCTGCGTCAATTTCGTCATCCCAAACGCACTGTATATTTACAACTCTAAGAAAAAGGTTTATTGAAGGATAGAAGCTTTGTTCTTTTTATACATGTTGAAATGTTAAAATAAACTATTAGTTCATTTCATTTGAGTACCTAATATTATTTTCGTATTCCCTTTTTATGATATTCATATGTAATCTTTCAAATGAGTATGTTAATGATAATATCTTTTCCACCTTGATTCCAAAGTTTTTAGTCCATATAGTATCCTATCAGTCTGCAACTCAAAATCTATGCTACTAATGGCCTTTAGGTCGAAGCGGGTAATTGAATAAAAAAAAAAATCTATGCTAGCGAAATTCGGGTTGTAGTAGTCTATACAAACATCAGAGCCTTCACGGTTTATCGATTCTCTGGACAGAGTAATATCTAGTGCAAATTTTAATGGCAACTGTGCGGTTGTTATTTTTCACGTAATAAGCGTACGAAAAGTAACTCTACAACTAAAGTTTCGCTCTGGGAAGCCACAGAATCGAAGTTTGCATAGGAGAACAACAACTCATGACTCAAAAGGGAAAACATTTTTGATGTTCATTTGACGGTTGATTACTTAGGTGGTGCGATAGCTAAACCGTTTTCGTCTGTGAAGGGTTTTGGGTTTTGCTGAAGGGAGGAAAGGTGATAATGCAATTAACGAAGTGAAAACTAGGTTGAGATTGATGATAATAAATTGGAGTCTTAGAGAATTTGCATTAATAAAAAACAAATTTGGTTTCGATCAGTAGTGAACCTTCAATATCTATGTCTACTTATATTCATTCAACGAGCTTAGATTTGATAGAAAAAAGGTTCCATATGCTGTAATGGATGCCTCTGAAAGACGTTTACCCTTTATTCAGTATCCTCAGAAAAATTTTTCAACACGAAAACATCCTAACAGGACTGACTTTTATGCCCATTGCCAGAGGGAGACAGGGAAATAATATTCCAAGACTTCTGGAAAGACCTGTTTCGTTCTCTCCTCATTCTTTCCTTGGGGACTAATGAGTTTAAGAAATCCCGAATAACTACGACATTCTCTCACTTCTAAAGGCGGAGAAAATGCAAGAATGGAAGTTAGCTTTATAATACATGACATAGAAGTCACCCTTTTAACAGATAGGGTTTATTATTTCAGCGATTCCTTTAGATATAGGTATACTATCGTCAGAATGACATGAGGTACCGGTAGTACATCACATACAATTATTATAGTCACCGTCTTGATACAGTTAGTCCACCGTAGCCTTTTGACAGGAAATAATTCACCAACCTTTATGCTCTGTCGTACCATCTATTTATAATATTCATAATTTTTTTTAAGAACTTCTTTCTTTTCTCGGTTTCAATTAAGATACCATGCATGATATTACTTTCAACTTCATTATCAGTTGCTTCCACAGACCATAATAATAATAATATTTATTTACTCTAAAATACAGGGAACATGAAACGAGTAAATAAATATAATATATCCATAGGAGGACAACGCCTGTGCATGGATCATATGTATGTTGAATTGCAAAATATAACAAAATAGAGAGAAAAAAGAAATTATTGGTAAGAATGGTAGAGCATTTATTGTGTAATATTTGAGATTATTTTATTAATTTGATTTCTCCCAATCGTGTTAATAAATTTTTTTAATTTTTTTTTTAAGCCTAATGTATTGCCTAATTGTTTTAAATTATTTGGTAAATGTTCGTACAATTTTGGAGCTATATACAGGTGACATCG